AAAGTTCTATAATTTTTTCAATAAAATGGGCGGATTTATAGATCATTCATTTATTGTTTTTGCCAAACGATTCATGTTTTGTGGATTGTCAGGGGCTAGGTGCAGTCCGAATAATTAATTTTTTGATTGTTTATTGCATTATTAGAGGATAGTAAGTTAAAACGTTGCGTGTGATCCTAGCCAAACCATTCAGATCATATTCATTCAATCATACGGATGTTTACCATGATACAAGGAATATATGTTCTTTGTATCATGGATGTTTACGTAGAGACAGTGAATATAATATAATAACTCTTATAGTTGCCCGTTTTGGTAAATAGAAGTTTGTTTTGATTGACGTAACCTCAAACTCAATTGCGCATGTCATTTAAACAACGAGTCAGGTTGGCTTATATGCGCTATATTGATGTTTGAGCTTGCGTACATGTAGCGGAAGCAAGTTATCTTGTCTCCGTCCCTCTATTTGTGGATCGATTACAAGCAATGGGAATTGTGGATTGTCAAAACGCAATTTTTGACAGTTCAAAGAGAAAGAAACCATACAGAAAATAAAATAAGAATAAAGATGAAAATGTTTTATTTTGTCTATGATAGAAACATTATGCTCGATTCCATGGCCAAGCCGTGACTGACCCCAGACAAAAATTAAGGAAGGAAAATTATTCTTTTCTAAACGGCCCTTAATTTTGTTCAATTATCTGGGATTCGTCTTAACAAAAAAGCGTACTTAATTGAAAACTACTAAATGGAGAATTTAAACACGCAACTTTCACGTAAATTAGCAATCACAGAGCGTTTTTCAGCTTAGTCGAACTAAAAAGCCAATTTATAAAATTATTCTCTTCTCAAACCCGCGCGGTTATTTTTTTCGGATATTAAGAGAACCGTTAGCGTGGAAAGAAGCTGCTGCACAGAAAACTTAAGTGTGCAATTTTCCGTATTAAATATCAAATTGGGAACGATTTCAAATCCTCAGAAAAATGTAGTGATAAMATTTTCTACTTTACCAAATCCGCGTTTTATTATTCCTTATATATTTAGAGATTTATTAGACGCAAGAGATAAAAYTAACTAAAAAATTATCCATTTTTCGAAGCCCGCTCTGAACTTGTTTCGCATATTTCGAGAACCGTTAGAGCTGCAAGGCTCAATTACAGACTGCTRGATAGAGGACTAAAGTACTAATTTTTCATTAGAAAATATAAAATTGGGAACAGTTTTSATTCCCCAGAAAAAAATAATGAAGCAAATTATTAATTTTTCCAACCCCGCGCTTTTTTTACARGAAAAAGTCATTATTCCTTGCTAATTAATTGCGTCTCAAATTCACAAATTYTGTTGTATTTACAAACATCTGTTTATTACTTTCTGTCTTTGGTTTTAAGGATTTCTTCTGCTTGTAATTGAGTTCGCAGTTTCATCATTTCCTTGTTATATTTTGCGAATTCTTCTGGCCGAAGCACTCTACGCAACCTTGGGGGTGGCTTACTCAAAATGGTTTTGACCTGGATAAAGTTGAAATCCATTATTTTCGGAAATAAAAGCCGAAACTACTTGGAATTAATTAAATTAAAGCTCCAGTTTAACTTACGCAGTTTGCCAGCCAAGCATCATCAATATGCACTAAAATCAAGACGTCTATAAGCAAGATAAACACACTATGCACTTGTTCCTCACCCATATTACGCACTCTTAAAATAATTTTTGCCACATATCCCAAGTATTGTTTTTTTGACTGTGTTTTTTCAAAAACCGCATTTTCGATGCCCTGCCCAGCATTTTTTGCGCTCAGAGAACAATGCTCCAGCTCACTATTTCTACAACGTTATTTAAATATACATGTAAATGGCCAATGCGTTTTACTTGCTTACAGCTTATTAATAACACTTTTCCTGAATTTCTCGCTTCCCCAGAGCGGTGGCAAAGACATAACTAAGACAGTTATACTTTAGATCAACTAGTAGCGGGATTGTTAAAAAAGGTAAATGGTTAATTTAAGTAAAAGGTAGTACATTTACTGTTGTGAGATGTATTAGCCTTCTGTACTAGTAAATATCATTGCTGGTTGATCACTAGCTGTGATCGGATTCATTTGAATCGTCGCTTTGAGGTTGTGGCAGAAATTTCGCCCGCAAAACATCATTAACTCCTTCCCTGTTCCTCGCTATTTCAACGGCATAAAACTGAATTCGCGTTACGAGAATAGTGTTTTCTTCACTATAGTCTTTCAGTGCATCAGATCTGAGTAGAGTACCATAGCTGTAATCTAAACACGAAATTTTGGCTTTCATTCGATTAAAATCACAGGTAGCGAGTACCTTCAACTATGGTTTTGAACTTCTCGCAAAACGGTCGCCATTTAGCTTTTTCCTTGGTGCTTTTCAGCTCCTGCTCAATGATAAGCTGGACATCAAGTTTGGGAAACTCCTCCCTAAACAGTCTGTATATGAGATCGTCTTCAGGTGTTAGTCTTAGAATCTTCGGGTCAACTGAGCACAAAATCTGAAATTTGCTATTTAGCTCCCAAATGCCCTTGTGTGTAAACCACCTACATTAAAGTATATTTCGGCATGTTCGTAGGCTCTCATAGCCCACAAAGCTTCGACACTTTGATCATTCTCAAACTCCTCAGCCGGTCTTGATAAAACATCCTAAAAAGGAACATGTGCACTAAGGTCTAATAGAAGGCAGGAATCCATTACCATTTGCTTATCAGCTATGGAACACTTTATTAATGGAAAATTCGCTGGAGATTTTTTATTAAATATTCCCTAACTGTCCCTAACCCAACTTGTCTGACAGATAGATAGCTCAAAACAGATAGTTTGTTAATCTGTGGCTCCAAACTCAAAACGTTCTGATGGTGCCAAGTGTTTCATTCTCGTCACGCAAGAAGATGAGTGATCTTGAAACGGACATAACCTGATTTCACTGAGCCTAGTCGGAGAAGCGTTTATCGGTTTCGCGGTCCCACGTGTATTATTTCTTCAAACTGTGCTAAAATGTCGTTTTTCATAAAAAAGAAACCGTTCAACGGAGTTAAAAGGGGACAGCCCGATAATCGAAAAGCCAAAAAACGAAAAATTGAGCCCAAGAAATCGAGAAATGAAGAAATTACGAGCAGCGAAGATGAGGGCATGCAGGAGGATGAAAACTTGAATTTATCGTCATCGGAGGACGAGAACGAGACGGCCCAGGACAAGAAGGTGCGTTTAGCTAAATTGTTTCTCGAGGAAATCAAACGGGAAGAAAAGGCTCGCCTTGAAAGGGAAGAAATTGATGAAAGAGTAATCTCAAAAAGGCTGAAAGAAGACTATCTAAAGGAAACTGGAAAGCTGCGCTTAAAAGTTGCAGATAATTACAGTGAAATTAACGTGGATAACATCAGGACGCTTAAGTGCAAACAGCAGAGAAATGGCCTAACTTGTATATGCATATCTAATGATAACAAGTTTCTTTTTAGTGGAAGCTTAAATGGAGTAGTGGTAAAGTACTCGTTAAGTGACTGTCGCAGGGTTGGTTTGCTGCCGTTTGTTCGCAACAGTGGTGATGAAACAATAGGTCATTCCAGTGGCATTTTCAGCTTGGCAATATCAACAGACAGCAAATATTTATCAGTGGGAGATCAGGCTGGAAATATTAACATTTGGAACCCCGATACCCTGAAGCACATTAAAACACTCACCGGACATAAAAAGGCTATTCTCGGGCTGAGTTTCAAAAAGGAATCCCACACCTTGTACTCCTGCAGCAAGGATAAGAGTGTGAAAGTGTGGAATTTGGATGAAATGGCCTATGTAGAGACATTGTTTGGGCATCAAGACTCTGTATCAGCAGTCGATAGCCTTCATAAGGACCGAGTGGTTACATCAGGAGCGCGAGACTTGAGAATTTGGAAAATCATCGAGGAAACCCAACTAATCTACAATGGACACATGGGAAATATTGATCATGTGAGATTCATTAATGAAGAACACTTTTTCTCAGGAGGGGACGATGGCCAGATATGCGTGTGGAGTTTTATGCGTAAAAAACCATTGCAAATCATCGAATCAGCACATGGAAAAGATTTATTCAACAACCAGCCGAGATGGATAACTGCGATAGCAGCCTTAGTGAACACTGACCTAGTAGCATCTGGGTCATATGATGGTTACGTACGACTCTGGAAACTGGAAGATAACTTCAAAAAATCAAAGGAAATTCTGAAAATCCGAGTTCAAGGTGTTATTAATGCGCTATCGTTTGCAAGCGATGGACAAAGTCTTGTTGTGGCTGTTAGTAGGGACTATAAGTTCGGACGGTGGATGACTGTTAAAAATGCAAAGGACTGTATTCTTGTTGTACCTTTTAATGTAACAGTTGGATAGTAGCAGCACACAGTTGTAAAGTCTAGTTGTTAAGGAATATACTTTTTTACATATTTTGTTGTTGCGATTTCTGTTTAGTTAACTTAACTTTAGTTCTTCAATGCGGAGTGGTTCGTTTTATTAATTGCCTTCAAACCCTTTCTAGGCCGAAATTGGTTGCTTAATGTACAATTCCATTACAGATTTAAGCCGGACTGTATGGAAAACTAGTCAAATCGTACTGGTTCTAGTTTTTTAGAGGAAAAATATTTGTCGTATTTAAAAGCTCGGCTTTTTTATAAGCCTAAAGTAGAAGAGTAGACTTTGGTTCGGCCCCAATAATAATTAATAATGCAACCGCAAAGCTCTTATAACGGTTCCATCAATACATTAAATGTGTACATTTTTCGGGTGTTTGCGTCCAAACTAGTACAGCTTCCGAAGGCTGTACACAACTTTCAATTAAACCGAAGAATATAGATGTTGTGCGTTTCTTTGAGTTTCAAGCTGTGCTAAGAAGCCTTTCGGACACGACTGGTAAAAGGTAAAAAC